ACAAATACAAGTTGAAGTGTAAAATCATACATGTTTAAGTCTAAAATCAAGTGGGACGGGGATGAGCGGTTTTAATATCTGAATTTAAGAGAGAAAAATTACAAGTATTCATTAAACAAGCAAATACACACGATGAGACATTTTAAATTTGCGTAAAATATCCCATAAATAGCAAACGTAAAATTCACACATTTTCAAAATAATTATGAATATAATGAATGTCCAGTGAACATAAAACAACTGCTTTCTCGAAGTATTATTTATTAGTCTTATTTCTCGTCTATCCCCCGTCTTTCTGTGTTTTGAAACGGTATTCATAACAATGTTTGTTACAGCAGCGAAACGAAAACATAAGGGTATATTTAGGATTTTACGAAAAGCTCTTCCAAATAGATGACGATCATACAATACGTGTTATTTTATTAGGTCATAATATTATTTTTTATTTTAATTTTCATAGTAATTATGTCACTAAATATAGAGCCAAATTTATGAATGTATTTATTCGTATTTCAACACTTTTAATAAAACATGAGTAGGTATTTCTCTAGTTGCAAAACCAAATAATTCCTGAATCATAACAAAAGAACCGTGGAGATCCGGGGTGGAATAGGTCTTCAGCAACCCATGCTTGCCGTGACAGGCGACTATGCTTGCCGTAAGAGGTGACTAACGGAATCGGGTGGTCAGGCTAGCTGACTTGATTGATGCATGTCATTGATCCCAATTTCGTGGATCGATGCTCATTATGTCAATCACTGGATTGTCTGTTCAATTATTTACAGACCGCCGTCATATAGCTGGAATATTGCTGAGTGCGGCGTTAAACAACAAACAAACAAAACATTTATGATTATTTTTTCAAGGTCCTCAATTGTATACATTTTATTTACCAATGAAGACTACAAATACTACTACAATTAAACATTTGTCAGTGTTCATCTTCAATGCCATGAATCTTAGAAAGCATGCACTTATTCAACGACTTGATGTTATTTATCAGTTACCATGGCTATTGTTGTATATTGTATAAATAAATGTACCTTCAACTACTTTGTGACCGTCTCCAAGGTCTAGTCCGCACAGATCGCCGGCCGCGTCATACCAAAAGACAGTAATTGTACTTGTTGTTGCCCTGCCTGGTGCTCGACATTGATGGGCTAAAACAATGGTCGGCTCGGAGTCAGTATTCTGTGTCTGAGTGGGGAATTCATGTTAAACAGCGGCATGGTATCTCAGTTGGCTTCATTATAAACATTCCGGACTAGCACAAGCAGCCACACACGCACGTGCATGCACGTCGCTACATAATTTGCCATTATCTTGGACGCGACGTTAAACCCCATTTCACCTCACCTAAACTACTTTGTATGCATGTAATATAGGCCTATGGCCTTCTCTGTATTTAGAAACAAGGATTGATTGATTGTAATAGAATTAATAAGTTGTCATCTATAAAGTTGTTCAAATTAGTCTGTTGCAATTTCCTTGATATTCGAGTTAGATGGGTTATTCTTCAGACATTGATGAATGACTGTCACGTTTGTATTTCAACACTGTCACTGATATATTCTATGTGTGATTGTTTTTATTGTGTTTCGTTTATGTATTCAGGGTGAACATGTGTATCTGACCTACGTATCTACGATTGTTTCAGTGAATAAAGATTCAGTATTCAGTTGTGTGTCCTTTACTTATTCAGACCAAAGTCTGACAAGAACACATCCGAACAGACTGTAAACAGTTTTGTTTGTTTATGTAACGCCGCACTCTGCTGTATTGCAGCTATATGACGGCGGTCTGTTAATAATCGAGTCTGGACCAAACAATTCAAAATGACTGACATCATGAGCATTGATCTACTTAAGTGGGATACGATGACATGCATCAACCAATTCAGCGAGCCGTTTTATGTTTATGATATACACACACACGCACACACAAGTACGCACGCGCACACGCACCCGCACCTGCCCCCGCATACGTATGCACATACAGACGAGAATGTTTTTTTAAATATATTACATATGTCTTGTCAGTTCCCATACATCAAAGCTTATGCAATGTTTAAAATTCATGTATCGGATTCAATACCAGCGGCACTGACGGATATGCATGGCCCGATGAAGGAATGTTTAGCTATATCATGAACGGTTTTTTGACGAAGCAGTTAATTATTCATAGGTTTCTTACTAGTGAGAAGACCCGTGAAGATCCGGGGTAGAATAGATCTTCAGCAACCCATGCTTGCCGTTAAAGGTGACTATGCTTGTCGTAAGAGACGACTAACGGGATCTGGTGGTCAGGCTCGCTGACTTGGTTGATGCATGTCATCGTATCACAATTGCGTGGATCGATGCTCATGATATCAATCACTGGATTGTCTTGTCCAGACTCGATTATTTACAGACCGCCGTCATATAGCTGCAATACAGCTACATACAAACAACGAACAAAGAAACAAAGAAATAAACAAAGTATTGAGAATGTAAACGTGAATGCCTCAGCTTTTCAGTCATGTGTGGTTATTCGGTCTTACATATATTTCCAAAGTATATATATTTATTGTTAAATTCAATACATAAGTTGGTATTCTCTTGTAGTATAGGGATGATATTGCTTTTATTTGAGAAAGGGACATTGGGATAACAAGCTTATTTCGCTATTAGATGTAGCAGGTAAACGTTTTACTTGTACTACTCTCATATATCTTCGCGCTTGGTTTGGGATCGAGCATTTGCTATTTGGAGGGAGTGGGATGGGCTGCCAAGGATTTAAAAAACTAATTTATCCCCAGGTTTTAGCCCTAAAAGTAACTTGTGGTTGGATGTTCTGAAATAATGTCTGGTGAAGTAAACTCAAATAGTGGGACTCTTGGGACACAAAGTGCGTGTTTTGAAGCAGGGGCCGATACACTAGCCTGTGTTAAACAAGAATCCCGGCCAAACATATTGGATAGTGGGTACGGTAGAAGTTACTGATAAGTCATAACAGTGTCACAAACTGGTGTCAGACATGACAATTTGTCTTATTTTATAGTAATTATAAACAATGATTTTGTATTGCCTATGCTATGGTCAGAATCGCACAATGGTAACAGTGCTTAGATTTAGGTACGTCAAATGGTAATGGAAAGGGTTTTGTCGCTTGTATATACAGTCGTTAGCTCAGTTGTAAATGTCTTTGATTTGAAAACTAAGCATCATTTCTACGCGGAATTCATTCATTTTTTGCAAGGCTTTTGATTCAGTTGAGAAGAATAAACTGTTGTTCTTACTTGATGCAGAGTGGAAATGTGAAAATATGTATAATTAATTATTATATCATTCATTTATATACCGTACTTATCCAAACATATCTGCCCAAAGGCGTTGATGTTATATGTGTTCCTCGATCAGTGGATCCGTATTCATTCCGGTCGTCATTCTCAACTCCCTCGGGTGTATATAGTCTCATATATCGGGGTAGCCGTGAAGATCCGGGGTAGAATAGGTCGTCAGCAACCCATGCTTGCCGTAAAAGGTGACTAAGCTTCTCGTAAGAGGCGACTAACGTGACCGGGGGGTCAGGCTCACTGACTTTATTGATGCATGTCATCGTATCCCAATTGCGTGGATCGATGCTCATAATGCTCATGATTCTCATGATTGACTGGTCCAGACACGATTATTCATAAACCTCCGTCATAAAGCTGGAATATTGCTGAGTGCGGCTTTAAACGACAAATAAACAAACAAACATATATCGGGTACCCGTCCCTGTTAGGTAAACAGGGGTACGTTTAACTAAGTAACCTGCCCATAGTAAAATGACACCGTTTTGACACTTGTGCTACGGGTGTATGTTCCTATTCGTGTTTTAACCAACAGATGAGTAGTTTTGTTTGGAGTGCACATAGTGAATGTAACGTACACTCGGGGTATTGACGGTACCGTGAAGACCTGCTTGTCTCGCGCTTTAGACCGCTCGGCCACTCCACCCCAGTAATGTGAGGAGAGTTGAAATGGGCTTTAACGTTACGCCAAAGATTATTGCACTTATATAGCGACTTGCATGCACGTGTGACAGGGAAACGACGCCATATACAACAAGTACATTCTTTCAACGTCTTTTGGTTTGTTGCGAGCGGGGATCGAACCCCGGACCTTCCGCTCTCCAGGCGGACGCTCTACCAATAGACCACGGAGGCGGTCAGCCGCAGTGCGAGTCAATCACAGATATATATTCTGTACTTCTTTTGGAGTCAGGGTTGGAGGCTGAACTCTCTGTTCTTCATATTCTTAATAAATCAACAGTAGAATCAGAAACGGGTGGAAGATATGTCTGTTTTTCGAGATTTTAATTGCAGAGAAAACGTATTTTTTCCGGACACATTTTGTGGATAATTGAGGTTTTGTTTGTAGTTTGCTTAGAAAAGTAAAGTAAAGTTGTGTTCATTTTCTTGCGGTCATTGACGAACAAAATACTTTTTCGCTTGATCAGTCTTATTTCAAGAACGTGTAGTGTAATTCTGTTTTTGTTAAATTCAAGTAGCCCAGTAGTTAAAGCGTCCGCTCGTCACGCCGAAGACCCGGGTTCGATCCCCTACATAGGTACAATGTGTGATGCCCTTTTCTGGTGTCCCCCACCCTGATATTGTTGAAGTAATACTGAAAGCTCACTCACTCTAGTTAAATTGTGTCGGTTGATTCAGTATTATTACCAATCGGTAAGTTGGGATAGACACATCTATTTGTCACAAAATCTAAACTACATGTATGTACTGTTTTGACAGCAAGTGATCCGTAACACATAAACAACTGAACCGTGTTATATTCCGTGTATGGGATGCAGTGTTTACAGCGTTTCAAGTCAAGAATAATTTGTCAAAAAGGATAAAACAATTCTCAATCTAAACTTATATGGCTGAATTTCACCTAATGACAACTACCTGTCATTTGAGTCTTTTTTCGATGTGTGGGTGGAATAACGATAATGATAGCTCTGGTAATACTGCCAGTATTTATTAGTTGTAAACAATGCATGAGCGAGGTAGAATGTGAAAACATAACGAACCGTGGACTGTAAATAAGTGTTACGTTGTTTTTATATTCAAGCAAATCTGTAAAAAAGGAAAATGTACCAATGTTTTGGCCAAAGAAATACAACACTTGGACGTGCTTCAGGGATTGAGTGAAAAATCAGTCAGTCCACCAATCTGTGCAGTTGCACAAATTACCCAAGAAGCTTTTTGAAAACTAAAGCTTGCATTATACTATTGATTACACAATAAAAATCACAACATCAAACCTACAGGCAATATGGCTCTACATTAACAGTTCAGTCTCAGTGTTGGGCACTACAGAATGTTTAATTTTGTCCATAGCTACAATGATAATCTTAACAAGAAAAAAGCTGATCTCCATCCCAAGGGGAATTAACGTTAAGATTGTGTTTAGGTTTGTCCGTCCAATGTTTGCATCCACTACTGAAACAATAATAATTAATTTTGCAATGTAAGTACTAAAGGTGTACTCACTAAACTTCCTGACCACAAAAATGTCAACAATGTCAAGCGTTGTCAATAGGACAATAAGAAACCCTAATGATACACATCCGCCTGCAACTGGGCCCAGTGGCGTACTGGACAGGGAGGTCATCACCATAGCTAGGGTGAACAGTGCATTACCAAGAATCCAGATCGCAAAGGCACCAATGGCATTCTCAACAAATAGTATGAACAGCACGTTGTCAACATGCCGTCCCTGCTTCTGTAGCTCGAGCTTGTGTTCGAACCTGGTTCTGTAGCTGAGGACGAGACACGCGTAGTAACAGAGCTCCGAACCTAGGAGGAAGACGAAGGCTAGTTCCAGAGCCTGTCTATCGAGGAGAAACAGCCAGCCGATGTAGAGTAGATCACCCAGGATGTGCACCCAGAAGAAGGCGGGGGTGAAGAGGACGGGGTGGAGGTAGAGAGGCCCCTCGGGGCCCTTCCTACAGATCAGGGTCAGCGAAAAGATGAGCCAGAGAATTTGAAGAGCAAATATGAAGGCAAAGACGTAGATAGACCATCGGGCTTTCCTGAACACGTTGTTATTAAGGTTGGACACATTGTTTGTTGTATCCAGGAAAATGTCTGAAATTTGATATCAAAGAATTCAATTTTTTACACAAAAATGTACAGCATGCATGGGATCCTTGAGTATACGGTATAATAATTTCTTACAAGTACCAAGAGATGGTACAATGGGTGGAATGAGTGCAATTACCTGATCCTCCAAGCTCGGCAAAGAAGGTGAGTATGACTGTCACCACAAACACCAGCAGGGTCAAGACGTTGAGAAGAATCAGGGAGGTGCCCGACCACTTCATTGTAACTGAGGCTCACTAAGTAACAAAAGAGAACACGTAGAGGAACAAACATTTAAGTGAGCGAGTGAGTTAAATTCAGTCATATAGCGACGACAACACGTTTCAATATCCAAAGCACGCCAAAAAGATACATCACTGATTTAATAACAATATTTCAGTACAACAAAGCTCACCAGTGCGTTGGATTAAAACAATAGCTGACGATAGTTACCTCGATCATGATAGGTATTGCATGTCACACAGAGGCACAATCACGTTAACTTCCAAAAAGAGAGACTTCAATTAGATGCCGTTGGTAAAGTGAAGTGGTAACATGTTGGCAAAGTGAGTGGACTTGAGGATGTACAAGAAACATGTTGGCAAAGTGAGTGGACTAAGGAACTTACAAGAAACGTGTTGGTAAAGTGAGTGGGCTTGGGAATGTACAAGGAACATGTTGGCAAAGTGAGTGGGCTGGGGCCTGTTTCAGATACATGTTGGTAAAGTGGGTGGACTGGGGAATGCACAAGGAACATGTTGGTAAAGTTAGTGGACTGTGGAATGTACAAGGAACATGTTGGCAAAGTGAGTGGACTGGGGAATGTACAAGGAACATGTTGGTAAAGTGAGTGGGCTGGTGAATGTACAAGGAACATGTTAGTAAAGTGAGTGGGCTGGGGAATGTACGAGGTACATGTTGGTAAAGTGGGTGGACTGGGGAATGTACAAGAAACATGTTGGTAAAGTGAGTGGACTGGGGAATGTACAAGAAACGTGTTGGTAAAGTGAGTGTGCTGGGGAATGTACAAGGAACATGTTGGCAAAGTGAGTGGACTGAGTAGCTTACAAGAAACATGTTGGTAAAGTGAGTGGGCTGAGTAGCTTGCAAGAAACATGTTGGTAAAGTGGGCGGATTGAGGAACTTACAAGAAACATGTTGGTACAGTGGGCGGACTGAGGAACTTACAAGAAACATGTTGGTAAAGTGGGCGGACTGAGGAACTTACAAGAAACATGTTGGTAAAGTGGGCGGACTGAGGAACTTACAAGAAACATGTTGGTAAAGTGTGCGGACTGAGGAACTTACAAGGTAAAGTGAGTGGGCTGAGTAGCTTACAAGAAACATGTTGGTAAAGTGGGCGGATTGAGGAACTTACAAGAAACATGTTGGTACAGTGGGCGGACTGAGGAACTTACAAGAAACATGTTGGTAAAGTGGGCGGACTGAGGAACTTACAAGAAACATGTTGGTAAAGTGGGCGGACTGAGGAACTTACAAGAAACATGTTGGTAAAGTGTGCGGACTGAGGAACTTACAAGAAACATGTTGGTTTGAAGCCACGTATTCGAGTCTACAGTGGCGACGCCGTCAGCACTGTGTGATACTGAAAACAACAACTCTGTACGTAAATATAAGTGACAAAGCCCCTTGTCCATATTCATAGAAATCTCAGTCAAAGGCAAAGTCGATGGTACGATTCCGACTATATCATGAACATGTGTTTATGAATCACTATCAAACAGTGATGACAACATGTTTTCGAATATATTTGAGCGTATCCTTTTGAAAGCTATATTGGGGCATTGTACGCTATAACCCCGACCAAAAAATATTTTGAGCAAGAGTCTGTCTGTCCTTGTCATTTTCGAAATGGGAAATCAATATAACCACGTAATGACATGTGACAGATTATTCTAAACATCAATAGACATTGCAGGCAGAGAGTTAAAAATAGGATATCCGAGTCGGATTGTATCTGACGTTGACGGTTTGAATTCTGTAACTGTAATTTAATTAAACGGGGTGATGATACATCCTCCACTTAGTTGGTTGTTGGTTGGTTGGTTTTTTAACGCCGCGCTCAGCAATATTTTAGCTATATGACGGCGGTCTGTAAACTCATTCTTATCAAATAGTCGGAAAAGTTCCTATTTTGGTGTGGATTGTATGGTTTGGTCGCTCTTATTTACTGTCATAGGACTGTCTGGCGGTTCATAAAGGAAAATCGGTTTCATCATCTATGACGTTAATGTTTCTCGAACGCTTGGACATTGCTGGCAACGCCTTGAAAAGAAGGGCAAGGTCACCGTAGAACAGATTATGAGAAACGGCAATAAACATACGTGAGTAATGATCAGCTCGGCTAAAGATGACCCCACACAAACCACATTGAAAACATCATTTCAAAAATAAACATGTCCATAAATCGGCATATGTCAACGCAATACATAGTGTGGTTATAACTATGTAACACCTGCAGGTAGTTTATAGAGATGTTGTAACATATATAGGGAGGTTAAAGAGATGTTTTAACATATACAGGGAGGTTATAGAGATGTTGTAACATATACAAGGAGGTTAAAGAGATGTTGTAACATATACAGGGAGGTTATAGAGATGTTGTAACATATATAGGGAGGTTAAAGAGATGTTTTAACATATACAGGGAGGTTATAGAGATGTTGTAACATATACAAGGAGGTTATAGAGATGTTGTAACATATACAGGGAGGTTATAGAGATGTTGTAACATATATAGGGAGGTTATAGAGATGTTGTAACATATACAGGGAGGTTATAGAGATGTTGTAACATATACAGGGAGGTTATAGAGATGTTGTAACATATACAGGGAGGTTATAGAGATGTTGTAACATATACAGGGAGGTTATAGAGATGTTGTAACATATATAGGGAGGTTAAAGAGATGTTTTAACATATACAGAGAGGTTATAGAGATGTTGTAACATATACAGGGAGGTTATAGAGATGTTGTAACATATATAGGGAGGTTAAAGAGATGTTTTAACATATACAGAGAGGTTATAGATATGTTGTAACATATACAAGGAGGTTATAGTGATGTTGTAACATATACAGGGAGGTTATAGAGATGTTTTAACATATACAGGGAGGTTATAGAGATGTTGTAACACATACACGTAGTTTATAGAGATTGTACATACACTTGTAGTTTATAGAGATGTTGTTACATATACAGGTAGTTAATAGCGATTTTGTAACATAATGCAATTAGTTAACAAAGATGTTGTTACATCTACAGGTAGTTTATAGAGATGTTGTAACATATACAGTTAGTTAACAAAGATGTTGTTACATCTACAGGTAGTTTATAGAGATGTTGTAACATATACAGTTAGTTAACAAAGATGTTGTTATATCTACAGGTAGTTTATAGAGATGTTGTAACATATACAGTTAGTTAACAAAGATGTTGTTACATCTACAGGTAGTTTATAGAGATGTTGTAACATATACAGGTAGTCTTTAGAGATTGTGTAACATATACAGTTAGTTAACAGAGATGTTGTTACATCTACAGATAGTTTATAGAGATGTTGTAACAGATACAGTTAATTAACAGAGATGTTGTTACATCTACAGGTAGCTTATAGAGGTATGTATACAGTGTACACAGATGTTGCAAATTGTATCAATGAACTATGGCTTACCTCACACAATGAATTGTCATGAAGATTGAAGATAGATAGAACCTCGTGGCTGCCGAGTGCTATGGTATAAACAGGTGACACCGCCTATCCCGGGGATAATTTCATCGACCAATCATCAACGTTAGATCTGTGACGGTAGGACTGCGTCTGTCAGGTGATGCCAAACGCTGGATAAACTGTCATGCCATGGATCTCGCCTGAATTAAACATAATGTCGACATCTCGTTATTGTTGATGCAGCTGATTCTGAGCCAGGAACTCATTGGCCATTCCGAACGTGTATTCTAACACATAAAACTAACGCAGCTATAGGTCTGTATGCAGAAACATACAGAAATTATGAATCAACCATGGGGGGAATGACTCGAATATGAAAAAGGCTAGATGATTCATCTTCAGGATCAACAGAGTCCCGTGTTTTTTTTCTCTATAACAGGAATCTTTCTGCTTCAGTAGTACTGCCCCTCCGATACAGTTTCTTGTTATGTTAGTAAGTTTGCTGGGCGTTGATTTTCTCAGATGTGGAAGTTGAGGTGAATCAGAGCAAAATATAGATATACATACCAACATCAGTAACATACTTGATGCCGAGCACGTATGGTAGACATTCACGTCATGCGAAAGTCCAGGGCCAGCGATGTGCCTTGCGTGCTACACTTGCTTGACCTGTTTTTGAAATCGTATTGTGATATGTTCTGTACAATAAAACATTGACAGTCCATACTATCTGTACAAGAACACACTGACGGTCCATAGTATCTGTACTGGAAACATTGACGGTCTATATTATATGTACTAGAAAACATGGATTGTCCATATTATCTGTACGAGAAAACATTGACGGTCTATATCATATGTACTAGAAAACATGGATTGTCCATATTATCTGTACGAGAAAACATTGACGGTCCAAAGTATCTCTGTAAGATACCACTGACGGTCCATATTATCTGTAAAAGAAAAGACTGACGGTCTTTATTATCTGTACTAGATAACATTAACGGTCTATATTATCTGTACTAGATAACATTAACGGTCTATATTATCTGTACTAGATATCATTAACGGTCTATATTATCTGTACAAGAAAACATTAACGGTCCATAGTATCTGTACAAGAAAACATTGACAGTCAACATTATCTGTACTGGAAACCGTTGACGCCAATATCATCTGTACTACAAAATATTGACGTTATTATTTCCATTTAACAAAATCCAACAGATTTAGACAATGTAATTTTCACTACGACGCACATGAGTATTTATGGTTTTATAAACAACTACTATAATAGTGCTTTCGTCATAAAACACTGTACGTTGTGATTTACTGTGGATTTCGAGTTGATTGTGACATGAATGTTTGTAATGTACCGAGGCGATGCTTAACGAGGGATACGAATTACACATATACAGTAACCCCGCATAGCACGTTTGAGAGGCACGTCACGTTTACCAACTGACTGAGTCCGGCTTTCTCCGGTACCTTCAATGCTTGATTATAACACAAAAGGTAAGCACCTGTTTCTTTTTATTGAATATTACAGATGTGTAAATGGTACTGAAAATGAACAGAATTCGTTCTAGTACACACAAGCGCCTGGGGATCAGCGACAACTATTGAGAAGATACGAGTTGGGTGATCCTCGTCTCTGCCTCGTTCAGTCATCGGCGCCATCGGGACTTGAACGTCATCCAAACGCATTATCATCAAATCTAAACTTAACGAACCGTAGAATTAGACATCGACTCATTGAAACCAGTTAACACTGATGTAAGGTCACACTTTAAGACACGGTACAGGTGTAGCAGGACGTGGTGTCACACCAAACAGTTGACATCATCAACGCCTGCTCGCGTGGTCTTAAATTTATTGGTATTTTTAACTTTTTCAGTTAGATAGATAGATAATTTATTCGTTCAAAACTGTGAGGCCACAGGCCCATAGTATACAGCGTTTAGGAAGCAGTTTTATACAACATAAACTTATTTCTAACAGACATAGCATGATATATATATTGACAAATTGCGTATGACATCAAGTTTAACTGAAGCTTTTAGAGTGACAAGTCTGTGGTACTGGTACACAAAAAGCTCTCATTTTTTAAGTACAGACTTCTTAGATTATGACATGTATGGAAAATTAACAGGAAGTGATATCCATCTTCAATAAGATCTGGATTACACTGATTACAAAATCTTAATTGTGTACATTCAATTAGTTTGTGGGAATTTCATCGAAATTATGTAATTCTATATTTTCTAAGATTGAAATAAATAAATAAGCTGGTGTGTGTATGAGATTTTAAAAACTTATTGCAATTACATTTACTAGAAGAGTCTACAATAGAAAGCGTTTTTGTGAAGGTATATATCTTTAAGTGTTTGCCTAATGGACAACAATACTTTATCTGGGCTTTCTGGTACACATTGTTCATTCCATACATAACTGTATCCACATTCGTTTAACAAACGTTTTACATATTAATAAACCAAATTTTGAACTCCATGGCTTTAATATAACAACATCATATTTTCACATTTTCTTGTCAATCTGTAAAAGGCATATTTAAAATTTTAAACCAAGATTTTATTTATTCTAATGTACTGAAACACAAAAAGGTACCCGCCCACTTTCGCCATAGATCATAACACTACACTGTACACAGTACACTGTTTGACACCAAGAAATCTTTTACATGCATACAAGTGTACTAGTCCAATCGCCCTGTACCCATAGAAGCCCCGTATCTCTGAGCCATATCATTAGTTATTGGGTCTTTAGTGGCCGTATACGGTGTTATATTGGGTTAGAAGAAAAATATTTGGCCATATGTTTCCGAAAAGTGTACACTATTTGGTATCTTTATGGCACATGTCAAGTCAAAACGTACAACCGGTACAAACGACAGGACCAGTTCATATGTTTCCGATTTAATGTAAACATAAACGTTAACAATGGAAGATATTATGTGAATGTTTAAACAAGTTTTATAGGTAAAATGTATCGAATTTTCATAAAAATACTCGCATGTTAACAGAAATCTGCGGGCAACTGTAACTTACAGCAGTCCGCTTACCTCTAACGACGGGCTGCTATCAATTCTATTGCTATGTGAAGTCATTGGCGTCACGTTTCTTGATTGTGACGTCATCCAATATTATGTTTATGCTATTTGTAACTCAGTGACCTCCGTTGTAATTTTTTTTTCTTTATACTGTTTATTAATAAAGTCACGAACGTGGTTTCTTTAAACACAAATGTCCTTGTGCATCACAATTTATGATAGTAAAACAAAAGACAGTGTCGAATAAAGAATTTCTGTACCAGAATTTTCATGTGAAATATATCAGGCAGGTTTTGCAAAATCTAAAATGGCTGTTACTGACGGTATACGGGCTCATATGGGGGTTAGTCGTTCTGCTCTCTGATTGGTCAATCTCACTTTGAGGCATAATTAAAAAGTATAGCACATAGTTTTACATCGTTTATCTTTAATAATGTGTTATTAGAAAGATCACTCCGGTTTTTAAATTTTGTAATATTCTTAATAATATTTTCTAAGCTTACGGTGCTGCATGACAAGTACACTAGTATTCCTGGATAACTTGCTTGAAAATGAAACCCCAAGGTATTTATATAATGTGACAGTTACAATTGTTTCCTTCGAAAGACCAGTTTTATCCATATTAACATTAAGTTTCCATTTCTCACAGTATATTACTAACTGACTGATCAAATGTGAACCTTCATAGTACTTGAAAACATAACAATATTTGTTGTCGTTTGTACTAGTCCGGACTTATGCCAGTGTTATGGTGCAAACCCACTGAGATACCACACCGCAGTTTAACATGGATCCTCTACTCAGACCTCAGACTTGTTGTATGTCTTTAAGGGTATGTTGTATGGCAGGGTAAAACAAGTACATCTGTTAAAGTCCTGTCGCATTACACAATCAGGGAACTGGGCAAATGCTCTATCCACTGGACCACGGAGGTGTCCTGTGTTCGGCTTCAGGGGAGGGGGTGACTGGAAGAATATATTAATGAGTCGAAAAGTATTATATCTGGTTAGGTCTACAACTACAGGGTACGTTGCATGCTGTTCAAGGTAAATACAAACTGGTTTAGATTTTGATAGTTATTTCGCTGTTTAATGTTTGGATGAAAATGAGAAACGTAAACACAGCCTCAACGTTTTTATGAAAACGAATTAGGTCAACTGTGATTAGTCCAAACATGGAAATATATGGCGGCTGCATGTAATTGTATTTCAAATCAGTTGTGAGTATTTGATGTGTATTTGATACTCTCTGTGTTATACAGTAGACTGAAGATGGTGAACAAGACCACTCTCCTCCAAGCCTTCGCCATTCTGGTGCTTCCGGTGTTTTTGGTGACAGTGATCTTCAACATCCTCGCCGGTCTCCCAGGCACAGGTAAACATGGGGCATCACAACAGGGCATGTGAGCAGGGTGCAGAGTTGCGTCCTAGGCCTGGCGGGATCCGATGTTCATTGGTTCCAATTCCAAATTCGACCTCATCTTGATCTGTGGTCTGTTAGAACTGCAACCGCGGGACAAAAAGTGTGTGGTCTACGAAACTGCTGGGCAAAAGAAAGTATACACCAATATTTGATGGTGGCTAAAGCTGACACAAACAACAAATGGTTATTCGACGATGATGTATATGACAGGGTATTACAGTTTTGTTTCGGACATGTTGGCAGTGTTGCGGCGACTCGATGCCCAGCAGCGTTTGGATAACGTTTATAATTTTTTATCAAATCCAATTTTCAGGTGCTGAATTTTTGTTCCCCGGCCGTTTACTTTTTTGGCTTTTGTCAGTTTTGGATTTTCTTCCACATTAAGATGTCAGTGCCATGCAGTTGTGAAGCACGATCTAGTAGACCTACTTCTGCCTCTTGCTACCTTGTGTTCATATATTCAATATTAGTCTTTTACAAATGGGCCAAACCTTTACAGACATAATGTATGTTATATGATTTACTAGTGATATGTAATTAATTACATCATCAAAGAAACACGTAAATACGTTCCTTATATCACTTTGATTGTAACCAATATACCTCAATTTCAGGTGCTTTCGTGTTTCTGACCACAACTGCCGCAATCTCTGACCGGTTCATCTCACAAATAACCCCCGCCGGCTTCACATTCATCATCTGGGGCC